GTAGGAGGTACAGATGCTCCCTTTCAAAAAAAGGGAGCTACATTGCAAACATTGCTACTGAATATTTCTGAGGTAGTTTTGGAGGTTATGGATAATTCTGGATTCACAGCAGCATGTGTGAATAGGCAGAAAACAGAGACATGCCTTCTGCCTGTCCTGAGGAAAAAAATCTTCCTTTTCCTGGATGTAAAGGTGTGTGGTCAGACGGGCCTGCACTAATACCTGAGGAGGATTCATTATTAATTTGATTTAATCCATCCTAAGCAGGAGGAAAAAGGTTAATTGCTTGGGGAGAAGCAATTTATCCAGTCCACAGACAGTTCAGATGATTGAGGCATAGTGGGAAGAATAAGACAAAATGAAAAGATGGGTTACTTTTTCACAGGTCTGTTGTTCTTAATTTATTATAGCCAATGGCAACAGTGCTGAGCAGCTTCTAGAAAAAAACAGAATGGTGGTTTCCTTTCCCCCACTCCATCCTTGGAGCAGATGCATCTGACAAAATTTCAAGTTGAAGTAGCTTTGCTAAAGCTGTGCTGGTGTGGACAGCAGGAAAAATAAAGTGTTTCCAACCCAGGTGCAGGCCTCCTTATGAGCTTTCTTTTTTTTTGAGATGGGGAAACCTCAAAGGATTGGCAGTAAATCTCCAACTCCTTTGGGGAGAGAGACACAGACAGAATAAGTCATTGGAGGCTCCTTTGTGTACTGTTACTGAGCAGCCTCTTGGGACCTTAATCCCAGGAAAGCATGTGCTGTTCTGTAACTGTTTTGTAGTCTCCAGAGCTCACAGGTAATTTCTTTCTATTAAAGAATGTGGTAGGCATCAAGTAGGCAACCCCAAGGAATAAGAATATATTAGACTAATTAGACACTAGTCAGCAAGTATAAGGTGGGGAATTGCTCTGAATATCTGGATTACCCTTGTGAGTCAGAATTGTTGCTGTATTCGGCTGGAGTAGACTCTTCTGGGGAGACATTTTCACAGGAGTAGGAGAACACTGCTAATTTTAAGGAAAGAATTGATAGTTGGAAAATAGTAACAAACCTGAGGATTGTAGTTAGTATCAGTGAGCTGACACTGTGTTAGCAATTATGTGAATCATCTGAAATGTTCCAGAATGCAAACTATTATCTGAAAATGCTCACAAAAGACTGTCTTGGGTTTGAGGAAGAAACTTTTCTGTGGAATCTGTTCCAGAAAGGAAACCTTTTACCATTATCTTTTAAATTCTAGGGACTTGCAGAATTATTATTAACTACTGAGTATTTATTTGAGTAAGAACTGATAAGTATTTCATCATGTGTCCTTCAAATCAGACTCTATCCCTTTCTGCCTGCCCCTTAGACAGCTAATCACCATTCCCTTTTTCATTTTAATTGGTGTGCTTGATGTTAGATCCTTTTGATTCTGTGAGATCTCGTTTGTTGTTGCTGTTATACTTCTGCCTTTCTGTGACTTTTCCTACAGTGTTGCCAGTTTAAATGACCTTCTTAAGTTAATGTGGTGAAACTCAGTTCTTATAAAGTAATCATCTCTTAGCTTTATTTATCCTTCCTTATTTTAAGTTCTAGAAGCAGCGAAAAGCTTAGACTAGCACAGTTCTCTGCTGTATCATGCCCGACACATGAGTCTATTGGACTGGCACTACTTCCTCTGTTAGCAGACTAAATGGGGTAAAAAAAAGCCAAGATGGAAACCAGACACCCTGTTGTCAAGGGGCTTGACCAAGGTCAGAGAGCAGAGCAGTTTGCAGTGTCCTGATTCCCTAGTGACTACTGTCCTAGTCAAACATATGGAAGCTGTGATGCTGCCTGCTGTGCTGCTGCTTGAGAACACTGACAGTGACTAAGCATATGTGAACACATCTCTGAATGTTCTCTCCCTTGAGTTACATGGAGAAGATGATGCACAATTATTTGACAGCAGGTTTAAAGGTGGTTCTGCATATCTGAGAAGCAGACTGGGGAACAGTTATGACACTTGTGATAAATGAGATTCAAAGAACTTGCAGAAGAGGCACCTGGCTATATTGATTTTGCTCACAAATTTTCTAAAGTACATGGCTGGCAAGATTGTCTTCCCTTGTTCAATGTTCCAAAAGAGTTCTCTGGTTTAATACAGGTATTTTGTTTGTGTAGAAAGTGAAGAGGAAGCCTGTTGGCCTGCAGGTGAAGGGAAAGCTCTGATGTATTTGTGTGAGGAAAGAAAAGTCATCAAGGCAATGCTCCCCTTTCCTCTGCTGGGAAGGTAGGGCTTCTGCTACCCCTGTGCTGAGGAGGAAACTGTAGTTCATGGCAAGTTATAGTATGGTCATGTCCTTCTTTTTACATTGAAACTAAACTGCAGCCATAGACATCTTTTCCCTTTCCTTAGACAGCTTTTTTCAAATGTGACTCTCAGTTTTCAAGTCAACTTTTAAAGGCTGACTACACTAGGAGGAGCTCTTCCTCCACGCCTTCTCTCCTTGTTCAGCTACCTTTTCAGTACAGCTCTGAGTTGCTTTTGTATGGGCTGCTTACTCACTGTCCAGCTTCTTAAATCCTCTGGACTTCTCTGAGCATGTAAGCTCACTTCAAGGTATAAAAGAAACGTTAATTCCCTGACCCTCTTTGACACTATGGTTGTTGGGCATTTTGAGATAGCTTCTTGTTGTTTCTGCTGTTCACTCATTTGGAAGAGTGGCTGAAGTGTTCTGTAGTTTGCAGCTTCACTGTGGCATTTGTTTTTCAGAATAGACAAAAGCCCAGCCATGCAGTTCCCAGTGCTCAGTTTCTCAGTTAGATGTCCAAGGTAGTTTGGTCCATTTTTTCTTCAGTTGGGTTATTTTTTAGTACTGTAAGGATTATGCAAATAACTTCTATGTAGTACTAAGTTCAATACTTTCTAGTAGAACCTAGAGTGAGTTGGAAAGCACACACCATAGACATTCATGCCAGTCATGTCTGATGACTGCTTCTCCCTGTTACATTCAGAAATTCCCTTTATTGGGAATAGTGTGGCCAGCAGAACTAAGGGAAATGATTCTTCTCCAGTATTTGGCATTGGTGAAACCACATCTTGAGTACTGGGTCCAGTTCTGAACCCCTCAACTCAGGAAGTATGGGAGGGTGTCCAGAGAGGGCAACAAAGCTGGTGAAGGTTCTCGAGTTCAGGGAGGAGCAGCTGAGGGAGCTGGGGTTGTTTAGCCTGGCAAAAAGGGGGCTCGGGGCCTGTTCATTCTCCACAACTACCTGAAAAGAGGCTGTAGCCAGGTGGAGTGTGGTCTCCTCTCCCAGGTAACCAACAGGATAAGAGGACATAGAGTTAAACTTTATGAGGAGAGGTCTAGGTTGAATGTTAGGAGGAAATTCTTCAGAGAAAGAGTGATTGGGCATTGGAATGGGCTGCCCAGGGAGGTGGTGGAGTCACTGTCCCTGCAGTTGTTTAAGGAAAGACTGGAAGTGGCCCTCAGAGCCAGGGTGTGACAAGGTGGTGTTCAGCCATAGGCTGGACTCCATGACCGCAGAGCTCTTTTCCAGCCTAACTGATTCAGTGATTCACATTACGGGCCATTTCTCTCACAGCTGGCAGCAGACCAGGTGTCTGTGAGCCCTAAATATGAGCATAATGTCGTCATTCCAATATTATTTACTAACCACTAACCGCGTGCATGGCACTCTCCATGCTGTAGACTTTCGGGTTTTGTAGACTCTCTTTTTTTACGTGTGAAACAGAGGATGGAAGGAATTCCGACATTACAGCACAAGAGCGCCGTGCAAGGCTCCCATCTCCGGGGGGCCGCTCGCGTTTACGGGCGAAAGGAACACTGAACGCCCCCTGGGCCCTCAGTCTCCGCAGAGGAGAGCAGTCTCCTGCCTGGCGGCGGCAGACGAACACTACCTCGGGCAGCGCCACCACCATCACAGAGGCGCCATCCCGGGAACTACAGCTCCCGGCATGCCTCGCGCGTCACCGGCAGCCAGTCGCGAGCGCAGGCCTTGCCCAGCGGCCCCGCCCCCTGGCGCCCGCCGCGGGGGCCTTTGAAAAGTTGCCGGGAGCGCGGAGGTTCCGCTCCCGCGGCGGCGCTGGCCCGGCCCGGCCGAGAGCCGCGGGGCTTTGCGGAGGGACACCCCCAGCCGCGGGGTGAGGCGGCTGTGCGGACTCGGGAGCGGGCTTTGTGGTGCCCGCGGTTTTCGCTGCCGGGGCCAGAGCGGGCCGGGCTGCGTCTCCGGCTGCAGGCGCGTCCCAGGCTGATGCGGCCGAGGGAGCCTGGGACGCGTGGTTCCCTTGGGGTTCCTTTGGGGTTCCCTCCTGTTTAAGGACAATTTTGTAGATGGGGCAATAAAGTTTCCACCTTGTGAAGATGTGGAGGCCTGTGCATCTGCAAAATTGTAGCAGTTTTGTGTTATGGCAAGCGTTTGGGATATTTGCGCTTACTACGTTATAAAAACCTTTGTTTTGCCCGAATGTCTGTATGAATTAATAGTGGGAATGTTGCCTGAATAATACGTGTGAAACAGCGACATGGTCAAGTGTGCGTGTGTGTGTGCTTTGGACTGTACTGGGCTGGACAGCATTTTGTGCAGTAGAGTTCAGTGTCACTGGCTCACCAGAACTGTTGTATTCCAGCAGTGTATCTTCTAGGGTTGAATGCTTACTGAGATTGCTCTACAGTTCATATTCAGACATCCAAAGATAATTATTTCTTGCCAGTGCAGTATAGCATGAGGACTTCTTGTTCAGCTCATGACTGTGTAATTTCTAGCTTTCTTATGTCCCAGAAACATCTGTCCTATAGACATTGCTGTTCCAATTGGTATGTTCTCATACACGGTCAAATATGACATGTAATTTAACAAAACTGTGTTCAGACTGGTAATATGACACAGACTTGTATGGGAACTCTATATCACATCACATCATGTGTTCTTTAGCAGGAAGTTAGTGGAACTGTCCACACAGTCATGTTCAAATCATCTTTCAAACATTTTTTTTTTGTCTGCCCTGTAGATTGTGAAGCATGGCTGCTAAGAAACTAAGAAGAGCACAGTTGTCTCAGGAAATGTGTGAAAGGCTCAGTCGCTATCAGATCACCACCTGTCAGGTGAAAGTGTTATTTTGTTTGTGGGGAGTGGGGTTTTTTTATAGGTTGGTGATTTTTGTTTTTTTGTGTGTGTGACTGTGGTGTTTTAATGCGTGTTGTGTTCCCTTTTTGGCAGTTTAATTAAACTGGGAGCTTCACTTTTTACAAAGTAGGGAGCATTTCAGACACTATCTGGCCTGCTGCCTTGTAAAAATAGAGCTTTAAAATCATGGATACCTAACTAAAACATTTAAACTTTTATGTACTTACTGTCCCTGTGGAGGTAGGGAAGTCACTGAGGCAGCTCTGTGGAGAAGGACTGGAGGTGCTGGTGGACAACAAACTGTCCCTGAGCCAGCAGTGTGTCCTGGTGGCCAAGAAGGACCATGGGATCCTGTGCTGCATTAGGAAGAGCATGGCCAGCAGGTCGAGGGAGGGGATCCTGCCCCTCTGCTCTGCCCTGGTGAGCCTCACCTGGAGAGCTGTGTCCAGTTCTGGGCTCCTCAGGACAGGAGAGACAGGGAGCTCCTGGAGCAGGTCCAGTGAAGGGCTTTGAAGATCGAGAGGATTGAAACATCTCCTCTACAAGGAAAGGCTGAGGGAGCTGGGCGTGTTCAACCTCCAGAAGAGACAACTGAGAGGGGACCTCAGCAATGTGTAGAAGTATCTGAAGGGAGAGTTGCTAAACCTGTGGAATATTTACTGATTTTGGACACATTGCATCAGTTTAGTCCCCAGCCTGGATTTCTAGGTTGAGCTCTCTGAATTGCTTTGTACTCTTTCAGGACTTCTTATGTCTTTCCCTCTTGGAGCTAATGAAAGTGACGGGACAGAGCTACTATGAGGTGCAGAAGCTTCTTTGTAAAGTCAGCCGAGCTTGTGCTCCCAAAATGCAGACGGTGAGTGTGCTTGTGTTGATACTGTTCTTGATACAATGTCTGGGAAAAAGCTGAACATTGTGGCTCACCTTTTTAGCTGGGAGGCTTGTCTCAGTTTTAGTGCACAATGACATAATGTTTTTCTTTTCAAATGTAGGTCTTTGATGCACTTTAGGTTGATACAGTTACATTTATTAGGTTTTATAGCCCCATGAGATTGTTCAGACTTGCAGCATCATTCTGAGTGCAGTAGGGAAATAAGTCATACTCTCTGTCAATCCAGCATGTAAAAATTGCTTCTGGCATGTATCCTGCAGCTAAGAAAATAATTTTTTTTTTTTTTATTATTACAAGCAAATAATAAGAATTTTGGTATAAATTTTGGTTTAGATATAAATAATTTCTTAAGGATTTTTTCCACCCATGTAAATGAGTTGTAGTGTGCCTTAGGCTACATTTGCCTGACTGGGGAGGGTGCAAGAAGGAAACATGTTGGCTGCAATGCAGTGGCAGCATTTTCTTTTCTTTTTTGAATTAATATGAAAAGATGTCTTTTAGAACAGAGAGGATACAGACAGTTCTGACCTCAGTTAATGCAGCCCCCTTTTTATTCCTTACAAAAATAATCCATGTCCAAATGTGTAATTGGCATAGTAATTATAGGAATAATTCTGTGATACTTTAAATTCACTAATATGCTGCAATAAAATTAGTAATAGAAGAATTAGTATGACTTTTACTGCATGTATTTGAAGCTAACAAATTGGTAATGAACATTGATCAAGGAATTTTACAGGTTGAAAACAAACCTTGTTGAATAGGAGCAGAGATAACTTTTGTCACATCATGATTAAGGGCTTATTATTTAATATTGTGGTAAGGGAGAGAAAAAAGACTTAAATTTATGCTGTGAGCTATAAATGGAATATAAATACAAGGAAGGGTGATGAGCTAAGGCAGACTATAGCTGAATATAACAGTACTTCTCTCATTGTCAAGTGTTTAGTCATAGCAGGTTGTTGAAAGCAAATACAATTTTCCTATTTCCATTTTAAAAAAAGCATTTTCTGATTTTCTTGTTTTCTTTTGCTATTTTCCCTCCTTTTGTAGGCTTATGAAATGAAACTAAGGAAGTCTGTCAATCCTTCTTCAGCCTTTTTATCCAGCACACTTCATGGTTTGGATAGAGTCCTGCATGGTGGAGTGCCTTGTGGATCCCTCACAGAGGTAACTTGTTTAGTATATTTTACTTTAGTTGAGCATTCTGCCTAGAAATCAAAAGTAACAGACAGGGTGGACTGTCTTGTGTGAGGTGCTTCAAACACAAAATACATGAAAATGCTCGGATGAGAACAGGCCTTGCCAAGTGCTTTTGTTTGTCTACTGTGGCAAGTTGTCACAGTAGAGGAATAAAAATGTGAACTTACGAAAATCTTACTGTGAAGAAAATACATTTTTTTGCATCCTTTAATCCAGCTAGATTGAATTTGATTTCTGATAGAAATGACTTACAAAATCTAACAGTGATTTAAAACATACTAGAGTTTAAGCATCAGTGAGTTGAGACTAGGCAGTTTCTGCTCTAGGATCTCTTATGTAATGGGGGGCTACTAGTTTTTAAAGATTCTGAGTATTTCTTTTTGTAGACAATGGAATATGTACCCTGCAGGTTAACATAAAAATGTTTAGGAATGCATCCATAAACTTAGATTGATCTGTCAGAATTAATATTTTCTTCATATCTAGTCTAGGCTTAGTTTTGTTGCCAATTTACTATAAGCAATTTAGGTCAGAAGAACTTAAGGTGAATGCTACAAGTCTTCAAATTCTAGGAGAATCAACTTGCTGAATTGTGTTTCTTTGAAGAAGAGCTGTTCCTATATAGTAGGAAGTAGACGTAGTCACGATACATGTAATGCTGAGATTGTAAATGTGCTGCTGTTGAGCATAGTGCCTTCAGCAGGAGATGAGCTTTTGCTTCCTAGAAATATTTTTTTCATCAGCAAATCAGTAACTGGGCTTTGTCTTTTCTTATGGATTATGGTTCATGTGGTCAGCTGATTAAATAGCACAGTCCATGTTTGAAAAGAAATGACGCTTGCAGCTAAAATCGAGCTTCCCAGGAGTTCTGAGTGGTCCATTAACCATTCCTCACTGGAGTCAGAGAATGGCTGTTCATGTGCTTACATTGCTTAAACTTCTGAACTGTGCTTCTTTAGTTGAAATGCAGAACCACTGCTGCAGAGGCAGGAGCAAGAAATAGGATAGAGATGTGTCTTTTCTGTGACAGGATGATTTGTCCTTGAGCTTGGGAGTGGTGCCCAAATATTTGGAATATTAAATATGATTGTTTTTTCTGCTAAAATGAACAAATGTATGTGATCCTTTTGGGTTCTAAGAGCCACATGGTTAATTTACGAGGCTGCAGATAACAGTGTCATAAATATTTGTTTTTGTTCTTAGTCCTAAATGGAGCTGTCATTCAGCAATCATTGCAGTCTGGCTGATGTGTTCTGGCCTGAAGGCCATGTAGAATGGCTCTAGAGCAGTAATAGAATTCAGGCTTGCTGATTGCCATGCTCTTGGCATTGCTCCAGAGGGAGATCTGGGAAAAGCAGTTGTTAACATGCTGGGAGTTCTAGGGGAGTTTAGCTGACCTTTTAAGTTTTATGTTGGTTTTGTTTTGTTTTAAATTTAATTTCAAATTAAGCTCTGCAAGCAGTTGATCTCAAAATTGGATGTCAAATACAATTGTCCTGAGATGATATAAAATAATGCTCTACAGGAAGTTAATGCAAGTGCTTTATTTTCCAGAGCTATATATTTTGTACACTTCTTAGCCTGGTTAATTATCACAATACTCAATTTTAATAATCCTCCCCCCCCCCCAGCGTTTTCTTAGAATATTTAACCTCTAAGTATAAGAAAATTGTTCATACACTGTATTTTAAGAATAGTCATAGTCCCTGTGTATCATTGTATTTAAAGTTAGTTGGGGGGGAATGAGTGTATTTAAAGATAAGTCATACTTTTCTCTGAATGTAAATGAAAAGCACAGCACCAGGAAAGGCAATATTGCACTTCCAAGTTTTCTTCTGGAAAAAAGCTTCTGAATGTGATTTTTGTATTCTATGATATTTTGGTTAAAAATGAAAGTACCTGCCTGGTGCAGTTCTCTACAGTGGGAGATCTCACCAAGGGAGGGAGATGTTGACATCTGTACAAGACATGTAGTGGATGAGACCAGAACTGCAAGCCCTACCACCTGCACCTTGGGCTTGGTTGATGACTGATACATAGCTATTTAGTCTGAAATAATATAGAGATAACTAGGTAGGATCCAGAAATGTGATGAATGACTAAAAAGATTAGATGTGTCCAGGAAAAAAAAATAGTGTGTTGCTTTTTGTTTGCCTTTTAGGTATTAAGTGTGGAAAGCAGTTAGGGCAGCTGTTAGGGGTTTTTCAGGAAATGAAAAGACAGATAACCATTAGCCATACAAAAACTGATCTTTTGTTTTAAAGCCTGGTTCTATGGATTTTAAAAAGCTTTTTTTGCAAGAGTCTTGAGATCTACAGTAGTTTAAAAGGTTGGCAACACTGAGTGTTCATCAGGATTGCTAGGTGAAATTGTAGTAGACAGCTATCAATTTACTGCTGCAGCTGGTTTGATGCTGTGCTTCTGCTGCTTCTATGCTCTACTGCAGCTTGTGAACACTTTCAGTTATTTTGCTTGTTTTTTTTTGATTTGAGGATTTAACGATTTTAATTTGCTTTTTGTACAATTCACTGGAACACAACCGACAAGTAGATTGTCTTTTGGCATTTTTGCATTAGACAGATATTTTAAGCCTGACAGAAGTTCTCTTCAAAAGTATGCTGAATGCAGCATTTACTTAACTACTAGGGCTGAATTGTCTGTTACTTTACCCAGCAGTGAGGGTAAAGTCTAGAAACTTGGAACTTGAGTACCTGATCAGAGGGATTAAGACTTGTGGTGGTGTCTTCTATGGCCAAATCTCCCTGCTTTTTGAGTGCCAGAGGGATTTGATTTGCATTACACTGTCTCAGACCATTTTTTTTCCAAGCCACTATTAGGTTTTAAATTGGAGACTAAATTGTCGCTGAAATTCTGTGGTCAGAGCTTTTATCCAAGTTTTATGAGGAAAAATTAAAATAGTTCCTTTTTTGAATATTGAAGAGTTTAATCTTCTGGTAGATGAAGAATTAGCTCCTTGTGATTTCATTCAAATCCTACAGATGTGCCAGAGAAAATAATATATAATTTACTGAAAAATAATTTATCTCTGCCTAATATTTTTAAAAACTGTTGTGATCTTCATGTTTCTATCTGGGTGACTTTTTTTTCTGAGCAAATTTAGAGTAAAATAAATTTTTTTGCAGACAGTTTAAATTTATTAGAGGAATTTCAAGTAGGATTCTGTTGTTCTAAACACTTGCTGAATCAGTGGTAAGTACAATAAAATGTTGTAGTTTTGTAAAATTCTTCATTGTGGCTTATTTAAAAGCCTGTTTTAAGGCCCATTAAAGGAATGCAGATTAAACAAGAAGTATTCATGGTTTTGGGGATACAAATGCTTTCTTGCTGCATTGGCTTGCTTCCTTGTACTGCAAGGTTCCCTCATTTTCTCAGATGTGATGCTCATATCATGCTTAGCATTTTCATAGCATCTCTGCAGAATTGGCTTCTGTGTCAGCCACTGAAATAGATGTTGCTTCCAGTGCACCTCCCAGGCAAGGCTGAAACTACAAATGTTTTTATGAAGTATTGTCACAGTTGTCCAAACATTTTAATTTCGCAGACTGGGTTGATGCCCTCCCCTCGTTCATTTCAAGTCCTCTTTTTATCAAGAAACAACTGGTGATATTCACTGGCAATCACAGTCTAAGGAATGTGTATTGCCTCTGTACTTTCTATATATGCTTTGGATTCACATTGAATTGTAGCAGATATTGCTGATATGATAGTTTGTAATTTAAGTACACTGGCTGGGGAACAGATAATTGCATAAATTACTGATTCCTGATATGTAATTCAACAAATACAGTGTATACTTCTAAACAAAAATCATTTCATGCTTCTCTTGCATTAAAGCTTCAAGTAGATTGATTGATCTAGCTTGACTTTCAGGCCTTGTTAAAAGACAAAGCTGATTAAAGGGATTTTAACCAACTGTTAACTGCAGCTACTGTGATCCTTCAGTGTTTCCCTGTAAATTTTCTGTGCTTCAAATCATGCTGCTACTGCTTAAACCAAAACCCTAGCAATACTGTAATATCTTCTGGTGAAAGTATTTGTGCTTGAAATCAAACTATCGTGCATGTAGTCTAAAAATCAGTTTGATTTTGAGTGTCTGTCTATTGTAAAGTTTGTTTTTAAATTTAAAACAATAGCTCTGTGTTTAGGCCTTTGGTCTGGCAGTACTAGGTGTTTTGAGACAGCATGCTTTGTTTTACAGTTCAGCTTACCTGGAGGGGCTTGCTTTTATACCTTGCATTATTAGTTTGTTGCTACTAGCATAAGAATGAACCCATCACTCTGTTTTCACTGCCTAACGTCACTTTATTTTTGCTGTTTTTTGGCCCTCTTGGTATTTACAATTTCATCATCTCCCTTCCCAGAAGCAGTGACAATGTGATACTGTATTTAAAGACCCCCTGTAGTAATAATGAACTTGCAATTATCTGAACACAGAGCCCAGCATTCAGGCACAATCTCTGGAAGATCTGCAGTGGATAAAGAATAGCAGACTGCCATCTCTAGTAGAAAAATACTGCTCTCAGAAACTGGTGATCTCATCAAACAATGTGTTCTTTGGATCCTTTTTCTCCTCAAAATCTTACTGGAACCTTTTCATACAAGCTGAGCGTGCTCTCTTTGAATGCTGCTTCACCACGGGGGCTTTCAGTGAGTGCAGGTGGAAGCTTTGGGGATCTGGTCTGGATCATTGAATGGTGTTGGTGTTGAAATATGGGGAATATAGGGAGTTAACCTCAATGGAAAAACTCACACTGCGTAGTGCAGAGTGTAGTCTCTGGGGCAGATAAAATCTGTCTTATGTATATATGTGGTTCATATTGAATATTCAGCTTTTATAGGATATAAGCAATTATCCCAGTGATTTCTAGGAGAGACCTGTTTTTTCCAAGGTAATGATGATTTCTAAGGAGATGTTTATGTCTGTGAGCTCAACAGGTCTGGATGTAGTTTTCAGCTCTAAAAGCCATTGATGACATGTGAATGTCAACTGTGAATCTTTTAATTCTGCTCTGTTTTAGAAGGTAGCACAGGGACAGATGGAAGAGAGCTAGGTGTCTCTAGGGAAGATCTTGTGAGGTGAGGGGGAGAGTAGGGGACCTCAAATTTGAAAGGTAATAATGATGTCAAAGAAAGTATAAGCATAATGCCCTGTCTGAAAAGCTTTTTTTATTCTTCAGGGGATGAATTTGTCTGCAAGGTACAGACCCAAGAGTAACTGCAAATTGGTCTTTGTGGGCTATGTTCTGTCTTTTCATGGCTGTTGTCTCCTTTGGTAACTGAAAGAGCGGGATTGGGGGAACATTGGCTGATGGGACTTGGATAACTAAGTAGAACTACGGTGAAATAAATGTTATGTTGCTAATCTTTTTCCTTCCAGATAACTAGCCCACCAGGTTGTGGCAAAACTCAATTTTGTATTATGTTGAGTGTTCTGGCTACGCTGCCTGTAAGCATGGGAGGACTAGATGGGGCTGTTATATACATTGACACAGAGTCTGCATTCAGTGCTGAAAGGTAAGATGCAAAATTCTAAAATACACACAACTTCTTAACACCTTTTATCTTGGAACCTTCAAATATTTTCTGTGCAATAATTGTGCATTTTTAAATACTGGTTGTAATTATTAAACATTCTTCTGGTACATGCATTTGTTCCACAGGCAATTAAATTAATTTAATAAAATGGTTTGCTTACCTTCCTAATTTGTATGAGGTTGCAGATTCTGGTATGACAAGGTTCATGGCATGATCTTTAATTTTTAAATGGTCTTATCAGTCCTGTACCTGAAATCTTGCTTTGCAGTTTGGTTTGTGGAGTTAACAGGATGTTAATTAGAGGATATAAAGGCACAGCAGTTTGGCTACAAAGGCAGTGGAGGTTTTCCCCAGTGAACAGTGGGACTGACGTTGCCAGTTTTCCTTCAGATTTCCATCCTATTTCTGTTGGACAGGGCCTTGTGCCCTTCTGCATTTCTGATTCCCTTCTGCAGCAACCTTGCATCTCCTGTATCCTTAGCAGCTATGCAGTACTGTAATACCTTATTTCTGTGACATCTCTGGTTCTTCTCATATCTCCTGCTTGGCCCATGCAACCCAAATGGCTCGGCTGTGCACTTCGGTGTGCTCGAGTGCTGAATGGACGTGCTGTGCTGGGTTGCTTGAGAGTGACACATGTTGGTTGCCACTCTTCCCATGTTAACTGTCTGATTAACTGTCAAAATCATCCTACAGTGTTTCATTAAATGTAGCTCTGATTTATTTTACTTAGTTACCAGCTTTGCTAACTTTGCAGCTTTGATGTTTTTGAGATTTCCATTCCTTGGCCCCTGTTGTTTGGAATGAGCAAGTTCAAAAGTTATTAAGGATCTGGGGAAGGACAAGAAGTACAGCAGTCTCATCCTTGTTAGCGTAGCAAAATGGGCAGAAAGAGGTTCAGTGAAATAATTTATATATTTCAGATGATCTAGTAGCTATAGCCATGGCATGATTCTAGAGTATAAAGGTAAATGTATTTCCATTGATTATTCATTGCAAGTTATCATGGATGAGAAGGTGGGATTTCAAACCCTTTTCTTTTTGTCAAGTTAATGTCACAAAAGTTTGAAGTATAGTATATCAAAGAAAAAAGCTTCAAGCAATGGCTCTGTAAAGTACTGTGCTGTCACCATGATATTTTATGAAAAATCCTTTGCAATGATTTTTTCCCTCCTGGGAAGATGAGGAGCCTCAGGAGAGAAATGTACACAATAACTATCTGCTGCTGTGGAATGCAACAGGTGCATCTGTGATTGGTGCATGTTGGTTGTTTCTAATTAATGGCCAATCCCAGATGCAGCTGGCTTGGACTCTCGGGCAGTCAGGAGCCTTTGTTTTCATTCCATTCTTGTTCTTTCTAGCCTTCTGATTAATCCTTTTCTCTCTATTCTTTTAGTATAGTTTTAATATAGTATTGTAATATATATCATAATATAATAAACCAGGCTTCTGAAACATGGAGTCGAGACTCTTGTCTCTCCACTTGTCCCAGGAGCACTCCACAAAGCATTTACCACACTGTGCTTCCTCCTTGCACACCACTCAAGTTTTATTTCCGGTCCCTGAAATGTAAATAGTAAAAAAAGGTAGGACCTAAAGAGTGAATAAAGATTTGTCACTTAGAAATGACTGCTAAAGAAAAGGAAAGCACATGCAGATGAAACTGAAACTGCTGAAAATAGAGTAGGATGTAGAAAGGAAACATGGCAAAAATAATATTATTAAGGATGAGAACATTTATGTATTTAATCATATTTAGTATTGCTCAGTTGCAAATGATAAACAATTTCAGCAGACTGACTATATCTTCTACTTTGTGTTGCATCCTCTGAGGAGCTGAACCATCAGGGCCAGGGAGGTGCATATCCCCTTCTTCTAAGGTGGCTGGGAGCTGGAGCATTTACCATTTGTGGAGAGGCCAAGGGCTTGCTCAGTTGAGTCGAGAGAAGGCATTGGGGCAATCTACCAGTAGCCTTCCCTTGCCATGAGGAGGCCTGAAGGAGATGGCACAGGGTGTGTGCTGGGGGACAGAGGCATAAATTGAGCTTCATTTCTGGGCTGATATATGGAGAAGCTTTACAGTTCCTAACTGCCTTTGTGGTGAAAAAGGTTTGCCCAGAGAGGTGGTGCTGCCTCCATCCTTGAAGGCTTCTGAAATAAAGACTCGAGTAACTTGTTCTGACTTCATAGCTGGCACTGCGTTGAACAGGATGTTGCCTCAAAATCTCCTGAGCTTTCTTTCTAAACCGATTTTAAATTTGTTTTCCCTAAAATCTCTTTAACTTTGTGTTTTAATGAAAGGACCCTAAGTTTAAAGAGATAATAAGTAAGTTGTGCCCACAAGTATAATCCACTAGAGGCCACTCTTCTCAAGCTATAGGTGGTGGGATATGTCCGCTTAAAATATAAACACTTAAGTATTTTTTGTTACTAAAAATGAAAATCTATTTTGTGGAAAAAATTTTCTGTCTAATGGATCTTCTGTTTTTTACCAGCTTGTTAGATTTTTTTGGTGACACAAAGCCCACTCCATGATTTCACTGCAAGGTAAAGGTGAAAAGGAAGATGGTTAGAGTTGGAGAGTAGTTTTATTTAAATGAAATTAATATTTACGTAAAATAATTCCAATAGGAAAATGCTTGGTCATTGAGTGGAATCTCTGGTATAAAACCTGAAGAACTTACTCAGTAAGTAAACTTCCCTTCTAGAGGAGATATGCCCTTTCTTTGCATGCAGACACATGATGTCTTTCCCTAATGTACCACTGACTCAGCATCACTGGAAAGAGAACCTAACTGTTCTGACTTCCACTGTTTCACTCTGACTGATATGCTTTTCTTTTTGATAAGATTTCCAGCCTTAGTTGGTATCTGCTTATGGTTCAGAGTTTTGCTGTGTTTGCTTTCTGAATATTTGATGCCTTATTATCTTGTATTATTCTTTTTGCAGTATTATGCCTTCTGTTTTTTGGATAGGTTGATTGAGATAGCAGCAAACAGATTCCCTGCTTATTATGACTCCGATGAAAAGCTGCTCTGCATGACCCGTAGCATCCACCTGTACCGAGAGCTGACCTGTTGTGGAGTGCTGAAGAGGTATTCTCTTCCAGAGTTTAAGAAAAGACAATTTTGACTGGATTGTCTAAACCAATTTTTTTTTTGTATCAAAGTTTTGTGAAGAATAATTAATTTGAGACATTTTCATGTGGATACCAGCACAATCTCCAACAAAGTAACATTGTTATAGAAAGATTGACATTGCCCTTTTCATTTCATAGCATATGACTAATCCACTTGATGCTTTTTAATTTGTGATAGACAATTTCTATGTTATCTGATTCTTGTAAGCCTTTAAAAGGGAATGTTCATGAGACTGGTCTCTCCACAATCCAAGAGAATACCTTAGTATAAGAGTTACTTTTCCATGAAATTTAAGTTTGTTCCTCCAAAGCAGTTTACTTCCAGGAAGATGGGGATTCCTCCAGCAGTGGGAGGGAGAAGTTGTTTAGCAGTCACCAGCCTGAGTGCAGTGTTGAATTGTCATGTTGTTACCTTATATTAATTTGTGAACATGTGTTGCAATGAAAATTAATGAAGTTATATTTTAGCATCATGTTGTGTGTTTTGTTTTAGTGGGAGAATTATCTGTCACAGACATATTTTATGAAAAATCCTTTTGCCAGGATCTTTTCTCCCGAGAAGCTGGGAAGCTTCAGCTTCTCTGTGTTTTGCTGCTTTGGAATGTGATTTGGAGAATTGTTTATCCAGCATGTGAAATTGTTTTTACTTGACGACCAATGACAGCCACCTATGTCAAGGATATGAGCAGTCACAAGATTTTATTATCATTCCTTTCCATTCCTTTCTAGCTTTCTGATGGATCCTTTCCCTCTCTTCTTTTTAGTATAGTTTTAGTATAGCATTTTAATATAATATACTGGTGCCTCACTACTCACTGAGTAAAGCATTTCTTCCTGAATTCTAATCTAAATTTTAGTTTAAAGCCATTTCCCCTCGTCCTATCACTATCTGCCCATGTAAAATGTCACTCTCCCTCTTACTTATCAGGATAGTTTTTTCTTCTAATACAGCTTTATCAGAGAACAGCTAGTAGCATATTAAAGAAACATGGAATGGCTTGGGTTGCAAGAGAGCTTAAAGGTCATCTAGTTCCAAACCTCCCATTATAGGCAGGGATAGCACTCACTTGGTCAGGTTGTTCAGGGCCCCATCCAACTTGGCATTGAACATTTTCAGGAATGGGGCATCCACAGCTTCTCTGGGCACCTGTGCTGGTGCCTCACTACTCACTGAGTAAAGCATTTCTTCCTGAATTCTAATCGAAATTTTAGCTTAAAGCCATTTCCCCTTGTCCTATCACTATCTGCCCACGTAAAATGTCACTCTCCCTCTTACTTATAAATCCCCTTGAAGTGCTGGAAGACCACAGTCAGGCACAGTTTCCATGCCCCCTTTACTTGCTGTCTGCCACTCAGGGGCTGTACAGCATATTGTTGCTAGCCAGAGGTCTTCCAAAACTCTCTTGTAGAGAGGTCCTGCCTTGGGCCCACTGAGCCTCAGATTCCTTTCCAAATCTCTTTAATACATGCAGATGTTAATGGAGGTGGTGTGTGGGGAGGGAAAAAGAGGGGCTGACCTTAATCTTATTAAAGGAATCTTTGTTTTAAAATGTTCAGTGATATGTAATGTTCTTTTGTGTAAATAATGCTATCAGTGATTTTTTTTTAATTTTTTTTAGGATTATGTCTTTGGAAGAAGAAATTATTTTGAAGAAGGTTAAACTTGTAATAATTGACTCTGTTGCTTCAGTTGTCAGAAAGGAGTTTGATACAAAACTCCAGGGCAATCTGGCAGAGAGAAGTAACTTTTTGACTAGAGGAGCATCAGTGTTGAAGTATTTGGCAGAGGAGTTCTCAATACCAGTAAGTTCTTTTTCCTTTTCTAAGTTTTTGCCTTACAGTCTCAAGTAATAAAGAAGAAGGAGAATGACAGGAAGAAGAAACCAGACAATTCCAGCAGGAATCTTAAAGCAGGTACCAGTTGGAATATAGTTGGGAAGTAGAAGAATAGTAATGGTTCTGCTTGGTGCGTTTCTTCTGTGAGTTTCTGTTTATTTGTTTTTTAAAATTTCTTAGGAATTGTTTTTATTTGTTAATTTGGGACTTGAATTAAGGAATTATTAGAGTCTTCAGCTGTCTCTGTGCTTTGGTTTTTGTGTTGGTTTTTTTTCATTAAATCCTACGTTTTCTTGCCATTAAATATTGTTTATCCTGATGGTTCCATTGTACTGCATTGTCACTCTACCTAATGCATGCTCTAGGTAGGTGAAGATTTTTTTCTGCCTCTGTTTCTTTTACTTAAGTTAGTAGAGTCTCCAGAAGGCTTATGCTCTGGAACAGAGTGAATTCCTTTTGTAGCTGATAATGTGTGCTAATTCCTGCAGAAGGGAACAGCTCAGCAAATCCTTGTCTGTAGACTTGCCCATAAAATGCAAAGGAAGACATGGACACTCAGTGCAAGGAGTAGGTAGACCTGATTAAAAAGTGCTTTAGAAGATGTAAACTATGTGTGTGTGTGTGTATTTCTTGTGTGATCCACAGAGTCATTTCAAAAGATATATTTGAAACTCAACTCTTTAAAGTATTTCCTGGTATGGGTAACCTACTCATCATTCCAGTGTAAGAGAGAAGCTGGGGTAAGAATGTGAGTAAGACTCTGATGCTCCTGAGGTCACAGAAACTATCACATCAGAAATAGGAAGTGTGGAACTGGCTGATGTAACTTCAGAGGATTTCCTTCTGCCGTGTGACTTCTAAAGACTTCTGATGGAGAAGATTAAACCCTCCCTAAGTGCCTTTAAAGTTCATGTACAAAAGGTAGCATCCCAGTCAGTGCACCCAGTAAAGTTGATAGTGATTATTTATAAAGCCAGGAAAGAATTGTGTGTAATAATGTACACTCTGATATTTTGAGAATGTTTTATACAGCCCTTTGAGAAAAGGGAGAAGTTTTATGAGAAGATACTATTTTTCTCCAATTCTCCATTTTCTTCTCCTTTAGACAGCCCCTGCCCTCCACCTTCACTGAAATGGTGAAGCTGAGCTGGATTTGAATCTCTGACATTTTAGGCTGGAGTGTGTTATGCATCTGCAAGTGTTGGTGCATACTGCAAAATCAGTCTGCTGTCCCATGTGTTGCAGTAACTTCCTTAGTGTATCTGAAGTTCTCACTGTAAATAACTGTGTTGGCATTATTTCAGATGTTTTTATTTATCTAGAAAATAATAAATACAGATTTGGGATTAAGGATATTAGTAAGGTTGCAAAGTGATTTAGATCACTAATAAATTGGACACATAAATGTAACTCTTTGTGGCACAATCAGTGCAACTAAGTACTAAATTGGGCAACAATTAGGAAGACTGAATCTGAGGCTGATAGGATTTGAAGTCAATTCTTTTGGCTGTAGCTAAAGATCTGGTGAAAAACTGTGCGTAGTTGAACAAGGGAATTGGAAATTAGGAGATATCAGCTATAACTCTTATTGCAGCAGTACATCTGATGTTGGCAGTCCAGAGAGAGTGGTGAAAAAGCAGCTTCCAGAGAACAGCCTTGAAGATGAATGGGGGAGAGCAGTCTTAGTGAAGAAGACATAAGGTGCTTACTTTGTTTAGCTTAGCGAAGGAAATGTTAAGGGTTTCTTCATTAGTCAATATGCACCTACTCGTTGAAGAGGTATTTGATAAAAGCTCTCTTTGGCTGACACAGGTGTACCACAGTTCTGTGGTTGGAAGCTGAATGAAGCAAGGTCAGACTTCAAAGAAGGGGTGTGTTCCTACTGGACTAATTCATCATTGGAATGCATTACTAAACATAAATAGCTGCTTATCATGAGTATATTTAGGTGGGCATTCCTCCCCCGTTTCCTGAAAGGGAAATGGTTTCAAATAGGGTTAAGTTTGTGGAAACCCTGTGCTACCATGTTGTGCCAGAGTTAAAAGGATGTTAATGCAGTTTTTGTTGGCATTATAAACTCACTAAATATTTATAATTATGTGTTTGTGGTGTCAAGTTATTGAGTTTGATGTGCAAAAGTGGCTAGTGGTCATAGTTTTTACCAAACTCAAAGGGAGCTGTTTCAAATCCAGCTAGCTCTATATGGTATAAAGTATTTGGAAAAAAAGTTGATTATACCAAAACTGATGGTGGTTGTTCATTAACTTCTCTGTACCTCGATTTTCAGGTTGTAAAATGGGGCAGAACTGTTCAGTGAGAGGAGATTGTGAGGATAGGGTCGTTACTGATAACAAGGAACTTGTACTGAGTCCAGGACAATGTATTCATGCTTCTTGGAAAGAAGCAGTTGCATCCTTGGTGTAAAATTTAAAACAGTTGTAGTAAATGAAAACTTAATCCATGTCATGAGATGAGAAAAAAATAATAAGCATATTAATTGAATGGTACCATCTTAGCCACTGAATGAAGCTAGTGCACGTGGTTTGTGATTGTCATTTTTTGTTTGACCTAATTTTTTATTGTTGGAGGTTTTTTGTGGTTTTTTTTGTTGTTGTTTGTAAAGTACAAAGAAAAGCAAAGTTATGGTTTGTTTTTTTTTTTTTTTTACTTTATGGACATTAGTAAAGCTTAAGTTGTTTCTCAAAAAGTGAAGTACGATGCCTGATCACCTTTTTAGATCTTTTCTTCCTTGTAAGTTAGCTGTAAGCCCAGGTTCATTCTAGCTATGTGAAGTGATGCCAAGGCAAGAGGCAGCACAAGGTTTAGTTCACTTCTGGCCAATTCACAGGGGACCTGGCAGCCCTACTGGTGACTGAACAGTCTCTGAAGCTTTTGCCTCCAAGGGGCACTACGTAGCAGTATCCCTTTTCCCTTTCCTGCAGAGAGTTGTAACTGAAGATACTTCTTTTCTCCCAGGTTTGGTTGGAACTAGCCAGTCAGATCAAAAGCAATTCCTGGAAACTGAGAAGGACAGCTTGATTATCAATGAAACAAAATCCCCTTTCTTTTTGAAATCCAGTGAACAGGCAAATCTATATGAAAAATTTGTTACCTTTTTATGTTAATAGATCACTTTGTAGTTGAGAGCATTTGGATCTGAATGTCTTCTTTTACAATGTGTGTGGATGCTGTCTACCAGATTAGATATTTAAGCAACAGTAATCAGTCCTATGTGCTTCCTGTGTAGCTTCCTGACTTCCTTAGCCTTCTGAAAAAGAAAGTAAGTAAAATATGCTTTGGATTTTCTTTCTTCTCTTCTTCCATATTCACAGGAAACTGTAAATTAATAGATGGTATTTGGTGAAAGCAATTCAGTGTTTGTGCTAGTTGAGAGATGTCTTCTTTTCAGTAAAGAGCTAAAACTAAAACCCAATATGACAAGAATTATTACTGAGATTTAAATATTTACCTTATAAAATTTGTTGTTCATAGACTCTGATTTTCTAGTCACTAATACTTCAGAAAATAAGTGAAGCTGGCTAGACATCTCTGTGAAAAAGTACTCCAGAAGCAGCAGTTGCAAAACCAAACTGCTTTAAGCATTCTTTTAAATGTCTGATTGAGATTGATGATGAAATTTGCTTTGTAAAACCCTAAGGCTAATCAAATTACAACATTTGCTGTCCTTTATGCTTTTGTCTGGATTATGTTCTTAGGTCACTGAAGTGAATCTTTGTCATTTATAATCAATATGTTGGTTATTGTTACCAGCAAATGTGTAATAGTATAGTCTGTTATTTTTTAAATTTGTTCTTTCTGAAAATATGAAGTAACTTAGGATGAGAGACTTGAATGTCTCATGTGTGGTTTTTTAGAGCAAATGAAAGACAAACCTTATGTAATTATTCTCCAATGCTTTTATTTTCTGTGCTAAATAAATTAACAGTAGTTCAAGAAGCCCACAATTCCACAGGTAATATTTTTCTCCATTTAGAATCGACATGCTCCATTTAAAAACTAAAACTACACTTAATATTTATGATAAGAGATCTGTAACAGTCAATTTTCTTTTCACATTGATCTCTAGATTTTAGTTTCAGTGCTTCACAGTCACTATGCTCCTTAATCTTATACCAAACATTTTCATTTACTTTGGAAAGCCAAATGTTTAGCTAAGTGTATATCTGCTTTTAGGATGAGTAATTTTTTTTTGTCTCAAAATCACTTCCTGTGGAGAAATTACTTGACATCTGAAGTGCCTTTGCTGCTGTCTTTTGTGAAGTGTTTGCTTGTATTGTCTCATCTTCCTGCAGTAAAGTGTCTAAAAACTGAAATGCTTCTGTTGGCACAGAGGTAATATTCAAGCTGTTAGTTTTCTTTTTGTTTATAATCAGGTATTCCCATTTGGCCTCATTCTTGCTTCTTTTTATTCTGTTTTCACATGGATGGTTGCTTGTCACCTCTGCACTTCAGCTATTGCTGTTCTGGTATTTGAAAATATTAGTTTATGGAACACAAAACAGATTCCAAAATAAAAGACTCCTGAAGAAAAGTTGTTTAGATGCCAGTTGCCTTTGAATTAAATATGTATAGAGTTTGATAAAAATACATAGTTGATTTGTTGTTACATTGTGTAGCAACACAGTATGATGACTTTTCCGAAATTGTGGGAATGCATTGGACTTTCAGGTTATTTTGTCTATATTGGGACTTTAAAACTGCTGAAATGCAAACTTTGTTTTTATTCTTATCTGTTAAAAATTGTTTAATCCCAGAGTTACAGAAACTGTAATTGAATTGTCTTTACAGGTTGTTTAAAACTAGAATAAAAGAAACTTTACTTGCAAAACTTAGAGAATTGGTTCCACTTTGAAGTTTTCTAGAAGGAGAACTCTCTTACAAGTTACACCACATGGAATCATGTGTTTCTTTAATGAAGTTAAATGAGTTAATGTTATCAGAAGAAA